GGAAATGCAGCACACTGGAAAAATAGAAGCCAAGAGAAGAAGTCTGAATATACATGTACACCATCAGCTTCAATCCAACCGGAGTTGGGCTGACAATTGGCTACGTGTCCCAGCTTCCAGTAAAGTACTCCAGCTGCATAACTGCTTGCAGTGCTTCTTTCCACCTAAGCACCGCAATGCCCCAAAATCATGCATCAGGCCACAGTCTGAGGTATGAGCTTCCAAGAACGCTGGTAGGCATCCACCATGGCCTTAGAACAGAACCCCAAACTGATCACACTGTACACTGTAGACACTCCCCTCCCTCTGTCTTGTCTCTCTCTCTCCCTCTCTCTTACCTCGGTACCACTTGCACAGAGTTCTCCACCAACCGTCTTTCCACGTCAGCGCAAATTGACTCTCCCGGCCCCCCCCCATCTCTGGGTCAGTGACCCTGTATGTGACCACCTCGCAGCGGTCAACGGCGTGAGAGTTGAGGCTTCACTAGCGTCGCCACGATTGCATCAGCTTCACTAGTCTGAAACGCTGTTCGATCTTGATCAAACCCGGGCCCTTCTTATCGTGAACAACCCGAGACTTGGACATCAGTGACATCAAGTCAAAAAAGCCCCTGAGCTGCTGGCATCTGGAGGCACTTGGTCCAAGACCATGTCGGAGACCAGTCTCAAGGACCATCCTTCCGGCGTCGCGAGCTGACGCGAAAGCGAGCTGAGTGGCGCCCCACTCCACTGCAAGCCACTGAGGCCGCTGACTCCACTGCAAGCCACGGGCGCAGGAAATGATCACAGAATTGAAGGTTACAGCATCCGGCCTTGTAAACAATGAAGCAAACAATGAGTCTGTGGCTTCCTTCTCAGCTCAAGTCCAAAACAATACCCCAACTCTTAGGCGTGCAATGCAACAAGTGAAACAATGTTTCGGACACTGAGCCAAGCAACCAAGTCTTGTGCCCGGCCATGTCTTTCAACAGCAGCAAGCTCTGTTGCCATTGTGCAGCCTGCATTGTCAGTGATATATGATCAGGATGACACGGCCATCTCCGGTGCCAGAACGCTTGGGCTGCAGCACGAGGCCGGCAAATGCAAACTATCCAGTTCTATTCGCGAAAGCCAAGTCTGGTGCTTGACTGCAAGCATGGATAGCTGCCGCATGCGACGGCCTTGTGATGCAAAAGCAAGGTGAGGAGGCTGTGAAGCTGCTGCAACAAACACTCATCAGCCGCACTCCCAACCCAAATAACTGGACAACTAGGTCTGAGTTCGCACAGAACTGCAATCACAACTTCACAGAAGCAATCAAAATCACAAGAGCCAGGACATCGTGTCAATTTACATTAGCTCAGCAGCTCCCATCAACTTTCACCCTCCTCACCACCCTCAACACACCGCTCGGTACGCCGATCTGAGAGTCCAGCACATCTGGCAGGAGCAGCTCAGTACGTGCATCTGACAAGAGCTGTAAGGCTCTGGGCCATTGGCCGGCTTTGGCACAGGCTAAGATGGCTCCAGTGAAGGTATACATGGAGGCCGGCAAACCTGGACTTGGACTGCGTTGGATCCGCTGCAATATATAGATTAGATGATTTGGGGCGCTTTGGGGTTCGATGATGATGACAATCCATCTCCATGACACTCGTAGTTTGCTGGACAATGCTTCAATCCATCAACTGGTCATCCAATGCACCCTGCCTTCCAGCCACACCTCATGCAACAAATCCATGGCCACTCTCCAACCTGCCACAGCGCCATGATATTTGATGACAAGACGTTGGCCCGAAAACCAACACACGCCTCCAACAGTGGAGCAAGCCCAGATCACGGTATTGTAACCTCGTTGTGGTGTCAAGACAACTCTGGTTGCATGGATATTGTCACAAAATGCCCACAACAGCAAAGGCAGCAAAGGACTATCTTGCTGTATTGAGGTGGGTGTACCACAATGGATCGCACGTGTAACATGTGAGCTTCACAAACAAAGAAGAAGAAGGAGGAGGAGGAGAAGGAAAAAAAGAAGAAGAAGAAGAAACAAGAAGAAACAAGAACGTGCAGACTGGCAAACCAAATGTGGTCGGTCTATGGTGCCAACAGTTGGGACAAGCTCTATACGGCTGGCTGTCAACAGGCGGAACTGGGTCCCAGGGTGGCTTTTCGATTTCAAGCCGTGCAAACGTGTGCACGAATCCAAGGAGAAAAAGGTGGGAACAGTGCTGCTCGAAGTGTTCCAGGAGAAACGAGTGCTGCAAAAACAGGCTGACACACCAGTTCCCTTGGAGAACAAGGAAGCTGACAGAACTTTCTTTGATGGATGAAGTTGCTCTTGCCAGCAAGGTCAGAAGCAAACGATTTCAAAAGCGAAGATGGTCAGAAGCAAAGCAAAACTCTTTTGACAGCCTTCACAGCTCAGGCAGGCAAAAGTTGACACTCATTTCTATGATCACAAACTTCCCAAATTCAACCTGGTCCGGATCTGATTGAGAAAACCCTTGCTTTTGCTGTCTAGAACAATCACACCAGAATCCTCCTCAACGCACAATGTTGCTCAGAGGCAAAAAGCGGTGATTCTCCAATCGACCGGGCAGCTGATGATATCTGGCATCGTCAATTCAGTCCACATAGCCTGCCGTGAAGAATCTCACTCGACCCACCAGCCCATCGAACAAAAAAGTGAACCTCGGACCTTGAAATGCCTTGAACCCATTTGAATCCACAATTAAGGAGCGATGGCCTCCAACCTAGCAGCAATGGCCTCCACCCTAGGAGTCCCTTCCACATCTTCTGGAACATCCTTTCTTGGAGATAGTCCTACACTTGGGATGTCTACAAAGAGTTGAGAACACCCGCCTTCAAGAGCTGAATGGCCTCAAGCCTGAGCGACAAATTCTCAAAAGAGTCGTCAATCGCAACAGTGACTGGTCCACTCTTCAGTCAAAAGCTGATGCGAAAGAAAAACTTCTACGCTTGTTGATCTTTGTTGTTCATTGTTCTTTGTTCTTTGTTCCGTTGACCCTGCACCCGAGATCGAGACCAGTTCCCGGCGAGGCTGCAGCTGTGGATGGCTGTGTTGAACGAGCACGCATTTAAATCGACTTGGAGCCTCAGCAGTTGTTTAGTTCCTCTCTCTGTGTTTCCTCTTCAACCAGACCATGTGACCTGAAGCACACCGTTGGTTGACGATAACTTACGGCGACTTGCGGACAATGACACTTGCAAACTCACATACGGTACTCCTGTATCTGCTGGGTTTTGAGGCGTCAGCCCATCGACTGAATGGAAAAGCGAGGCCGACAACTCCTGGTTCAAACAATGCAGTCAGTGCCAGTGGAAGTTCTTCCGTGGGTGAAAACCCAGTGACCCTGGTTGACGCACGAAAGGAAGGAAAATGAATGGACTACAAGAGATGATATCCATGATGCTTTCAGGTGCTCGAGGATTTTTTATACAATTGTACAAAAAAATTGTGTTTTCCCCTCGGGCGCTTGTCAGAGACATTTGGAAGCAACACCCAATTCAAATACGGTCCGGAAAGCCGGCATCTTTCAGGGCAGCCATTGCCTCAAGAGGGCGCTTCCATCCGTGAGCGCTTTCCTGTGCCCTTTTTGGTGCCACACAACCGTTTGAACATCCAAAGTAGCGTTTGAACAAACAACCTAATGGCCTCCAACCTAACAGCGAACCATACTCCCAAACTCACATCACAAGAAACCCAATCCAAAAAAGTTCCCTTACAAAGGTGTAAACAGACTTGGAGCGAGTACAGTAACATACTGTGCCCCCCAAATGCAACCCTTGTGTAATTTGCTCAGGATCAAGCATTGTTAACCACCTGGCCAGGTGAAATCAAGGTGCCATTCTTGTAATTTCAAAAAAACAAGGCTGCTATGCTACTCCAAAAAAGACTACGACTGAATCTCCACCTCGACATCCAGCACCCCGTGACGCTTGGAAGCCTGGATTTTGGCCGAAGGCAGTCCAAGCGTTTGGAAGAGTCTTCCAAGTTGCGCCTCTAGCAGCTCCAGCACCAAGGGCCATTGATGGACATCCAAGATGGTAACAGCAGCCTCAAATACTGCAAGCTGTCCCTGCGTTTCCGTCTTGGTTGTAGCAAAGACGGGAAGTCATCCACTCAAGTCTCAAAAAATGGTTTACAAAGGCGTTTCAAACCCTGCAAGCGTTTCATGCTCATCTCCTTGGCAAGCAAAACAGTTGTTGATATTTAACGCACCCCCAGTCAAAGAACACCTCAACAACTAGGAGCAAGAACGCTACTAGGGGCTCCTGGCCTTCTACTAGGAGCAAGAGGCTACTAGGGGCTCCTGGCATCGCTACTAGGAGCAAGAACGCTACTATTGTGGTTTGACTTCAAGTGCGGCTGCCAAATGAAGTCCAAACATGTGAGCACACACACTCGCACCAGACTGCGCAGTGACTCTTGTGTAACTGAAGACTGGATTGCTTTGCTTCTTTCCACAAGGTTCAGTTGCTTGTTTGAGACCACAAGAACTAAACAAAAATTTAAACGGCACAAGAGCCAAACACAACTGCAAAAAGCTCCTTCAGTATGATGTACTCAAAATGGAAATTGTTTGGTTTCGTGTTCAGTTCCATTGAATTATACAATGTTTAAACTGTTTCGTCTCCCAGGCCAACCATTGATCGCGATCGTCAAGGCATTTGCCCCAATGCATGACAGCTTCAAATGTAGAGTAGCATTGTGTATCAACTGCGACTACGTTTCACTTGAAACAGGAAGAGCAATAGCAATAGCAGGGTAGACCCAGACTTCCCAAAACCATCAACACCCATTGCATTGAACTGACCGCAATATCGATGTTCGTGCAAACAGCGTGCGTCTCTTGCTCCGGTAGATCTGGAGCGTCAATAAAATGTAAAAAGGAAGTCAGCTTGAACTGATGGCTACTGGCTAGTGTTTAGTGGAAAGATTTATTTCAGGTTCAGGAAAGATCATCTGCTGTATGTTGACTTTTTGCACAAACCATTCCCAAAAGTGCACGGCCACAGTGCCACCAAGGAGTCCCTTGGGCCACTAGGAGCCCCGACACTGTACATTCTCGCAGTGGCTGTGTGGGGAGCCTGGAAAAGAAATTAAATAGTGCAAGTGGCACGTGCTATTCCACTGGCTTCTGAGAGCGTCACTCGCAGTTTGGTTTGCAAAAGCCGGAGCCCCTGGCATCGCTTTTCAAGCCATCTGTGATTTGAAAACATGGAGTCAAAGGAAAAATTCGAGATTGAAAAATACAATATATTTATATATGTACACACTCTATATTATACACACTCCCTAAAAAAATGGAAGTGGAAAATGGCCCCTGAGGAAAACCATTTTCCTCCACAAACCGGTGGTGTTCCACTTCCACAAGTATTTCAGGGAGTGTGAGTGTTGCCTTTTGACATTTGTTTTGGAAATGCTATGAAATGCTGACGAATGTGCTTGAGGTTGATTGAATCTGTTACAAATCAAACTGCCATGCCCAACCACCTCCTGCCAAAAAGTTGCATTACCAAGGGAGCGAATTGCCACACGAACATCCTGCCAGAACAGACTTCAGCATGGCAAAGTCTGGACCAAAGCACCCAGCCAAAAACCCTGTGACTTCGAACACTTACTAGGAGCAAGAAGCTACTAGGGGCTCCTGGCCTTACTACTCGGAGCAAGGACGCTACTAGGGGCTCCTGGCATCGCTACTAGGAGCAAAGACGCTACTAATCAGTGGAATCTATCACCATCTCTTCCATGGGGTCCTCTGGATGCGACAGGCAACCCCTTCTCCGAAGCGAACCCAAGACCTGACGCGCGAACTGAAAGGGTTGTGAGACTGAACCAAACCGCGCTTCCAAACGCATCGAACCTTCCAAGGCATTTGAACCTGTGGCTATCAGTTCGAAGGGATTGAAGGTGTCTATGCCCATGCTGGCCTTGGTCACATTGACCCCCACTTCCGATGGCCTCGACCCACACATTATGCAGGTCCATGCGAGACTGGGGATCAATGTTCTGTGTCCATAATGTTCAGAATCTGCTAGATGGACATGGCCTTAAGTACTCCTCGATCAGAGCTTCTGAGTCTCGTAGTCTTCCACTTGGAACTTTTCTATCAAGAGAAATGCAGTCCGCGGCATCCAGTTCCTGGAGAAAACACCAGGGACTCTCCAAATGGTGCAATATGATGCATTCGCTGACACTTATTGGAAAAATACTACCGCGCACCCCATGCGGCGTCAGTCACATATGTGATCTAAATGTACCCTTTGGTGCCACACCTTCATTATCTTGACCTGTTGCCACCTGTTGCCACAACTCATCAAGCTTCATCAGCCCCTCAACTCTTCATCCATTACATGGCACTCTCGTGCAGCTTTTGCAGAAAACTTTGCGAGGGACGCTGGAGTCTGGGGTGACTGCTGTCAGCCTCCGGGAAATGTGTCAAACCCAATGGAAAACCAGCGCACAGAGCTGCAGGACATACAAAAAGGATCAAAAAGGTATATAAGGCCAGCTTATGATGTAGCTGATATAGAGCATTGAACACGACTAAAGAAGATGTTCACCGGATTTCCTCGGTATCTGCGGAGCCCACTTCGTGTTTCATTGTTGCATTGTTGCATCGGTCCAAGTGCGGAGCGCAGCTGATCCGTGCGATGAAATCGCATAGAGCATCTTAGAGCATGGTACCTGCCTACTTGAAGAAGGCTGGTGCCATCAGCTCTTTCTCAGGAAATTGTCGCTATCAGCTGATCATCAGCTCTCGAAATTCGAGTAGGAAAAAACAGCGGCAAAGCACCCAGACGGTGCTGTTCAGAAGCTCCCAAGCTTGAAACCACCGAGCGTGTCCTTGGTGCGCAGAACACAAAACAAGGCCTGGACCTCGGGGGACATAAACCACTCAAGTTGTTTGGCGCGGGCAATCACAAGTAACCCTGGTAAAAGTCCATGACGGCGTGAACGGCGCAGGGATGATTTGATCCAGGGGGGGCGAACAGAATCATCTCTTACAGGACCAAACTCAATGCACAATCCCAACTCCTGATTGTAATACATGTTTGCTAAAGCAAGGAGAACTCAGGTAGCTCAAGCTACCTTTCGTGATTTGGATGATCAGCGGTTGGGTTTGATAGGAACAGTGTGACAAAACACTCGTCTATAAGCTCCATTATCGGTCCATCCACACAAACTAAGTTAATGTTGGCTCAGCTCAATGTCACTTGGACGGCGCTTGGCCCGTCTGCTGTCAACTCCACGGTACTCCCCCCATGTGGAGTCTTAGTCATATTTCCCCATTCTGCTCTGCCGAAATCCTTGACGAAAAAACACAACAGTACTCCTGACAAGCAAGACCTTTACTGTACATCCTTTAGCGTCCTCGAGCACCCCTAGCTCCTAGCGGCTTAGCTTCCGAGGATATCCCAAAGTTCCTAGGCTTCCTTGATTCCACGGAAAAGCCCGGGTGTGCCCCGCTCCATGAAACGGCCTGTTGCCACATTCTCCAAACACAATGAAACCACATCAAATACTTCACCTACCATTTGTAACATCTTGAATGACAAGGACAGAAGGAAACCCAAACAGCACAAGTTACAAGTCACTTTGCCCAGCTTGAACAGGATACGAGCTTTGCCAAAGGCTCTTATCAATGGAATTCAAAGCCAACCCATTTTCGGACAAATGCACACCCAGGCTTTGCAGTTACCGAGTGTCTGGGCCAATGGGCTCTTTCTGCACGTTCTCTTCTGTGTAGGCACCTTGGTGCTTCCGGATTCGGACTGAATCTGAAGACAACTCCACCACCAGGTCCCGACCACCCCAGGCGCTGTAGACATACAGCCTCAGCATGGGCATTCTTCGGTACCATGGTTTAGTTTGACAGAACGGAGGTAGATACTCAAAAGCCAGCCACAGTATCACTCTCTTTAGAAAGGAATACAAAAATAGAAATAGAAATAAAAGGTAACAGGTAAGGCCCCGTAAATAAGGCCCCTTTAATTTAAGGGTGGGTGGCCTTGTTGAAGGAGCCCTTACCTTCTTTTGTTCTCTACTTCCCGTTATACTTGATTTCTTGGTGGCAGACGTCTCCCAGAAGCCATCTGGAAGCTTTGGAACCTGCGGAAGATGTGAAAGAAATATGAGGCGAAGACCACAAACCAATGAACTTTGTTGCTGAAGGCTCAAAAGAGCTGAGACTGCCACGTACTTGATCTTGCCTTGCTCAAACCTAATCAATTTAAAAGCCAAGTTGAATCGCTGGATGCACAAGAGATGACGAAAAGCAGAACTTCCAATGAAGATGAAATCAAACAAATCCCATGGCTTCATGGTTTCTTAATTTATGCTGTTCTTCCTGTAACCTGCTTTGAAAGGCTGCTGCTTGTTGCGGAAGTCATAGATCCATTCCAAGGCCTGAAAGGTGCTGAGCTTCTTCCAACTTCTATGTCTCGAGTCTCGAGCCCATAAAAAGAAAGTGAGGATATATATATATATATACTGCGACATTTACTGTCATATATATTATCTTATCATTGTTATTATATACCTCAAACAAGCCTGGCGTCACAGCTCTTTGATATTCCAATCTTCTCGTCTGAATTGCAGTGAATTATCAAGCTTGCGCTTGGTTGATAATTGACCAGACCCACCTATCTTTGGCAGGACGCAAGCATCCATGTGTGGTTACAATCCGCATCACCTGTCCTCTCGCTCCGGGATGGTCAGATCAGGGTGCCAAAAGTCCAGCACCAAAACGAAGCGGTCCTCACAAATGGAATGAAGTCTTCCGTCTTCGAGGCAAAGCGCGAAGGAACGAAGGAAGGAGGCGAAGGAGATTTAGCTTTTCAGTTTTTCCAACGGACGCTGAGTGAAGTGGAAATCCTGCGGAATCCTCGGGAATCCTTCCAGACTCTCAGACTCTCGGAACTTTCTCTGACAGCTTGCAGATGAGACGTCTCACTTCTCCCTTCTCCGACTCCTCGTCGGAGTCATTCCTGGTTGAATGCATGAAGGACGTATCCTTAGAATGAATTTGTTGCTCTTGCAACGAGGTACTACAAATCAAAGTCGTGAGACTCTGCAAACTCCCAATACCGAGTAGAGCTGAGCTGCAAAGACAATGCAGTCATCCTCCTTCCAAGGTCTCTCCTCACCTGAAGTCTATACGTCAATCCAGAAAGCATGATATGCAAGCCTGAGAAGCCAGCCACCCACTGTGATAGCACAATCAGGAGGGACCTCAAAGGACACCAAAGCCAAAACTGAGCGGTCGTGGAAGGTGCTGATAGTCAACGCCTTGTCGTGTTATGTGCGCTGGCTCGTTGGCCAACCCAGCTTTCGCATACTTTATCGGAGTCACATGGTAGGCAAAATCATTCATCTTGTTGGACAGAAACCTATCACTCAAACAGGAGGTCGGTGTCACATAGATGTCTTGGCACCACACACTAAGCCCGAAGTGCGCGGTGAGGAAGAAGTTTCTGCCTTGAAACCAAACGTGGGGCAAATGGTTTAGGAGTAAGGCCAGTAAGGCGGATGAGGAAATTTGTTATTTGAAAATCATTGAAAACCTCTACCTTCAATAGCTCCAAAACTCCGAAAGTAAAAGACTGAGAAAGCTGCCATCGCTGTGAGGCTGAACGCCGGTGCCTGGAACCTTCAATTGGGTCCGTCTCGGGTGGCTTTCTCCTTGGATCTTTTTCTGACTCGAAAGGATTCTTCTCCGTGGCCATGGTGAATCAGTGCCTTTTCGAACGTTCGATTCCGTTTAGGTCGTGCCTGTGGCACAAATCAAGGGACACACAGTCTTTACACATTGTCTGCTAAGTCTAGGCTTCGCCCCACCACATCCGCATCTCTTTGTATGCGCATGCTCGGCACAAATCAAAGCTACACCGGGCACAATGGCAAAAAAAGAGTTTTTGACTCTGATCATCTTTAAGCATTTCAACCTTGCAATGATCACATTGTACACCTTCGGCATAGATCTCTTCTTGGGGGCATTCTAAGATCAAAGGCATTGCTTCAAGGCAGTGAGGACACAAACAGGTCGTGAAGCCATCTGCGA